TGAGTGGTGATAAGTAGTATATCTTTTCAAAACAGGGTGCAGGATTCAGAAAATAAATTAGTAACTTTAAAACTCTTCTCTTTTGCCTAGGTTTTATGGCCCAAGTACTCTTGCTGAAGTTAGAAAATCAACATCCTCAAAGCTCAACTGGTCTTACCATCATCATTCTATTCAGCCGTTCAGGATTAAGTCTGTTTCTCAGCGAGGTTTTAACTGAATTTTGGACAGAAAAACCTTGCTCACAAGGAGCACTTGATACTGGGATTACAGGACTCATCAAAGCTAGTTGTACAAAATCGGGGTGAACATGTTTATACTCTTGGATGAGAGTGCTTGTAAACTGTTCAAAGTTTGTAGCTCTGTAACTGCATACTAGCTGCTTGAACTGAAGCCAAGCTAAGCTGGCAAGAAACGCCTCTTTTTTTGCAGGCTGTAATTCTGAATCTGCCATATTGCATTAGTGCCACAGAATGCCTCATAATCGAGCACTAGTTCCCAAGCCTCCGCAAGGAATTCATAGCAAGAGCAAGCTTGAGAACGATTCAAACACAACGTGGTGCTCCAATAGTCAATTCAAACAGAGTGAATGTGGCAGGTTTGAGGGTTGGAAGATGGACTTAGAAAACAGAACAAAGATTCCAAATTCTAATTGTATTTCTCAAAAGATTTTTTTTTGCATGTCAGTAGTAAACCACCATCCAAAGTCAGGCTTTGTACCACAATATCACATTGTACTTTACAAGTAAGTTAACTGAACACAAAAATAAATAAATAGCACGCCATGCATGCAGAAGCAATAACGTTTAAAAATTGTTCCTAGAAGATTGGAACATAAGCAGACAAACTGATTCTTAAAGTTTTAGTGTTAGGAATTTTAGGGGTTTACATTTAGAGTAGTCCATTGGTGGTTCATTCAAGTAGTTCATGTACCAGCTCCATCTTGTTAGTCCATGTGCTAGGAGGTCAGCAAAATGTACCAACCCAAAAGAAAGATTAAATAACTAAAATAAAAAGCACTCCGCTGAATAGTTCCCCTCTCTGAAATCAACACCTTATTATCTTTAAAGATATTTGGCAAAGCTAATTACCTCACCGGAAATTTAATATGTTGTTTTAACCATATACTCGTCCAAGAAAAAATCATTTTCTCTTGACTTGTCATATCGCGTGTGCAACCCACTTGTCTATCTAAAATTGTATGTATCGAAGATATGTTACTATGAGTTTGCCTGTGAGCGCAAATTTATCCAACACTGTATGAACCAAAATCCACCCCCAAATCTTCGTTTAAAAGCTGAAATTAAAAGCATTCCGCTGATCCTACAAACAGCAAAGGAAAGCTGCAAAGTACAAGTTTCTCTCTCTGAAATCGACACCTTATTATCTTTAAAGATATTTGGCAACACTAATTACCTCACCAAAAATTAATTTGTTGTTAACCATATACTTGTCATCAATGAACATTCGTATTGTCTTTACCCTGACAAAACGATTATCGATTGTTTAATCACAACCACTCTTTCATTGACAGAAAATATAAAACAGCACATTTCCAAAACTTCATAAAAAACTGAAAACTGCAAATGAATTGTACCCTGACTTCATTATCACTATTGTAAACTGTATATTTCAGTGCTCATACAATGCTCATACAGTGCTCTCACTGTGCTCATTCAATTCACTTCATGACTGGCAAAAGTACAACTGTGCTACCAATCCATAAATTTTATATAGACTCTTCAGCTATTGCGTGTGCGACTTGCTAGTCTAACTAAATTTGTATGTATGGACGATATGTTCTTATTACGAGATTGCCAGTGAGTGCAAATTTATCCAACACTGTATAAACCAAAATCAACCCCCAAATCTTCATTTAAAAGCTGAAATTAAAAGCATTCCACTGATCCTACAAACAGCAAAGGAAAGCTGCAAAGGAAACCCGCAAAGGAAAGTTACTCTCTCTGGAATCGACACCTTATTATCTTTAAAAATATTTGGCAACACTAACTACCTCACCGGAAATTAATTTGTTGTTTTAACTGTATACTTGCAAAGGAAAGCAGCAAAGGAACTCCCAGAGTGCATTTCGCTTCCACGGGGGGATAAATCGTGTACGCCATAAGCGCACGGACATCAGCATGACGAAACTATGTAAAATCACTATCCAAAGGAATGCATGCACGCCAGCACAAAGCGATGACATCACACAATACATCATCCCTTAAAAAATAAAAGAAATCAGGATATTTTAACATGAGTTGCGCCTAGATATTTACTATTCAAGATGCTTTGTTGAGTATCCTCTTTGTCCAGTTGCATGTCACGGTTTGCCTCATCTTCGGAGTTTTGTGTATGACCATTATTATTTCTTGATTTTTTTCAACATCTGAGGTGTTCGTCTCAGCTTCAAAGTTTGTTTTTAAGCCAGTGGTCATAGATTTTTGCCAGTGTTTTGTAGTTTGAACTTGTACATGGTTCATTTGTTCTCTCATAAGAACAAGCATGAACTTTACTTATTTGGCAGGCTTTCAAGCAAGTTAATTCATGGATCATCCTCTTCCGAAAACGATGCCTGGGACCATGACCCTCCTTTTGGCGACCAAACAGCTTGCATTTTTTGACTTGAGCTTTCCTAAAGAAGCCCAAGTAAAAATGGAAAAATATTCATTTACACAAGCTGAAATACATAAAACAACTTCATTCTCTTACTGTGTCAATTTTATATCAGCTTCTATAATATTATTTCCATTTACCGGGCTTTGAAAAATTTTAGAATGAATCAAGACAGGCTATGAAATTTTGATATGATACTATGACAGGCACTAGGAAAAAACAAAAAAGTTATTCCTGATTTTCTAACCCAGTCATCCCCATAAATAATGAACTGTTCCTAAATTTGCAGGAGATTCCATGGCAACCACCTACAGTAAGGTGTTGGTTTGAGGTGGAGACAAAATTGCTTGCAGTTTCACCAGTAATCCAAGTAAAATTGCATTACTAGAGTACAAATTCACCTTATATGCCCGACTTTAAAAAAGCCCTTGCTTAACAACGAAACAGTTTCATCCATTATTACATTTGTGAAATTTGACCACTTAGTCAGGGCTTTTGAGGATTCAGACAATCATTGAAAAGTAAATAATAGCAAATACTTAAGGCTAGTTTTCACTTGTGACGGAGTCGGAGTCGGAGTCTTGGTCGGAGTCATAAGACCCCTTATAACATAGTGAAAAGCGAAAATCAGAGTCGTAAGAGGAGTCATAAGCACGACGGAATTGGAGTCAGAAGAATCAGATCATTTCCATTTCTTTCAATTCCGTTTACGACTCCGCAGCTTATGATCCAGTGAAAACTACAATGTCGCAGTAGGAAGCAGAAACGGAAGAACTAACCAATCACAAGGCCTGCTAACGAACGCTGTGATTGGTTTATTCTTCCGCTTCTGCTTCTGACTCTGACAATCTAGTTTTCACTGGATCATAAGCAACGGAGTCGTAGGCGGCTGCAGTGTTCTGTTTTCAACTCCATCAGTTTGATTTTCACTAGATCGTATCACTCTACGCTTCTGATTAGGACTACAACTCCGTCACTAGTGAAAACCAGCCTTTAAGGTTTGAAATCTGAGTTCAAAAAAGAGATTTCCCCACTGAACATCATTAGGAACTGTGGTTGATGTAGGCTCCATTTATGAGGCCCTGTTAGGGGGGGTACCCATGTCCCCAGTCTGAAATTCGCCACCAGCCATGTCGGCATTTCACAAGATTGTGAGAGAAATTGCTGTTTTAGTCAAGTACATATAAAATTACAATTATCTCTTTGGATATAATTTACTCCTTGTATGCTTTGCACTTGCTTCAAACACTTTTTAGCAGTAGGAATTCTTATGCAGAGCCCGCATATCTCCGGTCAGTGGCTTTAATGACTACTTTATGGTTACTTTTAATGCATCACATTTCGACCGAGAATGAAGGAAAAGACTTCTTAGCTAGTTCAATTTTTCAAAATTTTCTAAGGCGCTGGGGGCATACTGCGGGACACATTGGGAGCATGCTTTCTAAGGGCTTGGGCATGTTTTTGAGCGCTGAAGTTGCTAACCTCCTAGGGGATGTGAGGGCATGCTCTCCCCAGGAAATTTTGAAATTTAGACGCTTGGTATTGCTATTTTCAGCCTTTTTCCAGTCAGTATTTGGACCTAAAGTACAATTGAACCTATGACTATTTTTACCATTTTCATGTTTAACAACCGTTCTTTAACTCAATCTCTTGACGGCCTCCATCAGATAATCTCTCCTATCTATAATCTTCCTTTGAATTTGGCGTAACCCTTACCTTCTGCTTAAGACGAGAAGACCTTGGCAGCTTTCCCCTGTCTCTCTTTTCCTAATTGATAATACAGCTTCATATTCTTTTACTAGTGGCCCACTAATAAAAATATAAAGCTGACTTTCAAAGATCTCTTTCCTTTTTCCTTAAACTTGTTTTTAGGCGTTTTAGGGCACTGCTCACTCAGCTGAGAGTGAGAAAAAATACTCAGCAATGACAGGCTCGATTTATTCGACACAGACGTTTTAACATATACAAGAAAGCCTGGGTATCACAACCTGTCGACATTGCGCATGAGAGAGGAAAATACATTTAAAACTCTGGAAATGCATCTTCACTTCAACTCAGACATTAAAACAATCACTCCATTCTCAGTTCTGAAATTCGTTGTCGGTCTATCTTGCTATTGGTGTCGCTTTCCCCATTTCACTGGAGTAGTCTGTTGTTCTTCGCCAATTCGTTGCTCTCATGTCGTCGTTTCAAGGCCATGTCGCTTGTCGGAATTTATCCCTAACAGGGTCTCATTTATATGGTATCAGGTACCCGAGACAACCCTCCTTCCGAGTTACCCTGGCCAAGGTAACTTTAAACTTATTTCTTTGCAAAATCAATCAACCGTTTACATTAAGAATGCGAACCAGTCTTGGGGGGCAAGACAACTCGGGTGGGCGAGTTGTCTCACCTTGTGCAGGTAAAAAGAGGGATATCTGTATATTTAATTATTCAATAAGGGTTATGAATAATCATGCAGGGACAACTTTGACTCAGCAGATAAACATACAAACGTTCACATATAAACGCTCGATAAAGTTGCCTGGGGGGTCGGGGGGGGGGGGATGTCTCGTATACCCAAGACCATATAATTGGGGCCATAGTCTTTGCAGTACTTTGCAGACTGTGGAATTGTATTTTAATTTAGAATTATGTTTTTTGTGGAACAACTTGCACACGTTTTAAGTTTCTGAACTATTGTTTTTTTTGCTTGAAAAATGCAGATAAAATAGTAATCAGTCCCACGAAGGTCTACAGTAATATTATTGAGAGAGTCGCTTTGAAAGAATGTTTTCATTCACGGGATTGTCATAACCATTTTTACTAATCTTCAAGATGGCTTTTCGTTTGGAGCTTAAGAACTTGCGTTGCACATAAAGTTGCAAAGATTTTGCGTAAGGTTTAGTCAATAGTACAACTGCAAGCTTAAGTTTCTATTGACTGAAGAAATTAAACGAACGTGATCCGCTTAAGCTCAAATGAACTTGAGGTTTTCAGGTTACAAAGCTAGTTCTTTATTACTTACTTCATTGCTACTTCGCTGGTATTGTACGTAGGCGAATATCTGATACGTTTCAACGTCTATTTTTATGTATCGATACTCACTGGGTCGGTATTTGGCGAGGTAGATCGCTTTCTCCGCTTCTTTTCACGTCCTTCTGTTCCTTCAGCGGAATTATCTTGAGTTTTCGCGCCAGAACTGGAAGGACGGCCACCAACGCGCTTACGCTTTGTCATTTTCCACCAGCTCTGAACCGTTCTTTGCTTCTCAATTTAGTTGCTTGCGCCCAATAGAAGCAGTTTATAGCGAAAACAGTCTGACTTATTTCTTTTTCCCTTTTGCATTGAACAACCACGTCCACGCGATTTTTGTCTTACAACAAGTAACTGAGCCTACAAAATAACAGCGGATTTACTAACAATACAGTTACTACGTTGTGGAGTCAAGAGAGTGAATTATTGTCTATTGAGCCTGTTCAGCGAGCTATGGAAGAGAAAAGAAAAGATATTCAACTAGTAATAACCAAAGGTTAGGAAATGCAGGCGAGGACGATGCTTAGTGCTTTTGGGTTACTAAAAATGTATCAGAATTGTTCTAAGTTGTAATCAGTGGCGCACTGAGATTAATTTTTAATAGGTGTGTTACACATGATTCTTGGGGTCATGACATATTTTGGGGCCTGAAGTAAAATGTTCCGCTCCGCGGGGCTAAAATATTTGCCCATAAGGGTAACTTGAACGTTCAGCAGCACCCCCTTTTCCTTTTTGCCAATTTATGTGTTCAAAACTGTACGTGGAGGTGTTGCATAGAGCAATTTCACTAAACCTATGAAACAGTCACCTACACTAAAAAATTCCATGATACACTAGTTTTGTCGTTTTGTTTTGCTTAGTTTTACTAAAACGCTGCAATTGTGTTTTTTTGTTTTGTCACAAAGGCTTATACATAGATCATATTTCCGGCTGTAAATATGTAATCAAAGCTTATTCTAAAATTGTTTGTCGCGCTTTGTCCAAAGACGAGAGCAGATCACAACTCGCTCGAGGCGGACTTCAAACGCGACATGAACACTGAACAGGAAACGTCCCAACTTGACACGTTCGATTTGGATTCAATGACGCAAAACTTTGGCTTTGAAGATCTAGCAAACTGGTCGACTCTGCGGCCATCTTTTAAAATATTCTTGTTCGAGTGGAAATGGATTCTGATTGGTGTACGAGGATTTATCGATCGATTTTGGCAGAAAAAATTTGCTCCAAAATCGAGATATGAGGTGCTTACCATTTGTCAGAATAAATCGGTTGGGATGACCGTTGTATAACGGTAAGGGTTTTTCCAAAATCAGCAAACCAACCCAACGAGATGGCGCTTACCATTTGCAATTCGATTTCTCGTAATTGTTTTCGGCTGATGAGAGACTGGAAACTGGAAAATGTACCAAATTATGGCGCGTTTTCAGGGTCAAAATAAAAACTAACTTTTCCACCTTTCCTTACCTGCTAAGTGAAATGTCTGTCATTTCCTGTCTTTGAAATTAGACAGTACGCATCTCTTTTGACCTCCGAAACAATACATTCCACGTTTCCTGAATACTAAAATCATAACATCCGGCATATTTTGACCTTTGAACAAAATTCTCCGCGTTTCCTGACTTC